TTTATGCCCAATATTGAAGCGTGGTCTGCGCTGTTATTCCACGCCACAACGCCAGAGGGACAATCACAAACTAGTTGTAGGTCTAGATACGGCCGAGATGGTGAGGAAGTTGGAGCAACTTTTATGCGACAACGGAGGGACATGAAGGTGAAACAGTGCGGGGAACCAGGTGGAAAAAGAGTGCCAGCGTTCTTGCGCACCTCGCTCTTCTACCGGGTCCAACTTCAATGGCGGTCATAAAAACAAAACAAGCTGGTAAGGTACCAAACAGGAAATACTCATAGTGTAGAGCGGATGTAGATTTGACCAATCAGAGGCCTCCTGGGTAACCTACAATTTCGGAGAGGTGCAGCAGAGTGTCTGCAGAAGGGGCGGGGCATATTAACCTTCACTGCGACACACATGCAGACGACCTGGAATCTGAGTATAAATCAGCCTGTATACACTTAAGCTTTGCCCCGCTTGTTGTCTTGCAGGCTGTGAACTCTCCAGCACCGGCTGTGCTTCAGGCATCCATTCTCTGTAGAAGTCGACCCGCTTCATCATCAGAATCAGCAACAGGACAGAGAAAACTTTTCATTTGAGTTGATGGAGTTCTGCCTTAAGGAGCTTTCACTGACTGACCTTCGATGTTGGACTGAAAACCCATCCAGGCTGTTCTGCAGCTTCCACCAAACTCCTCTGTGGGTTTCAGGCCGGCGAGTTTTTCCATTAAATCTAGTTTTTTTTTTCCGTTTTTTTTTTATCTCAGGATTTGCTGGAAAAACAGCGAGCACACTGGCCTCTTTTCTTTGGTCCGGTTTTGGTTCTGCTTCACTCACTGTTGGCAGAGAGCAGCTCATAGGACGTAGATGATGTTGATTGTACACTGCCGTTAGAACTGATCCCAGAACCGACTGCCAGGCTCAACAGAACCGACCCGAACCAAGCAGTGAACCAGCAGGAGAACTCATTAGATCAAACCCAGCCCAGAGATCTGGGCCAGAACCCCCAACAAAGGATCAGCTGTCTGGATGTTTGCTGGGAACTGGAAGGTACCGGTTGGTTTCAGACAGTTCAGACGGAACGCTGCGGTTTAAATTTGGTCTTGGAGCGGCTGCTGGGAAGGACCGACACCGGACCGGACGGCGAGACGCCGAACCAGATGGACATCAGGGAGGAGGAACGTCTGAAGATCAGCTGCTGAAACAACAAACATCCAGAACCACAGATCAGTCCATTTCATCGGAAGCGGCGCCGAAGCAAAAGCTGAAAGGGACGAAGGTTTGATGAGGAGCTGCTGTCGTTTAACAGACTGAAGGTTCAGTCCGGATCCTGCTGCTACTTATTTACCCGAACGGAACCGTCTGCCGGGTTTTCCACATCCTGGTTACATGAATTAAATCCCAGCACCAATTAACCTTTCCCTCTTTTAGTTCCACTTACCTGATTCAAATCTCCAAAAGTCATTTAACCTGAAAAAAAAGTCCAACTCAGTGATCGGCTGTTAGCTAACCACACTTTCTTCAACCTTTTTTTTTTAGGAATTAGACCTGAAAACCTGTTTGCTCTTTACCACCTTAAGATTCCTGATTTAAGGTGGTCCAGAGGAAAACTTTATGAACATTTGAGGGATCAGGAAACGTCTTCAATCCAAAATCTCGAGCTGCTGTTCTCATCCTGAACTCTAGATGGCAGTAAAGGATTTAAATTTGGCTGCATTCATCACTGAAATGTTTGTCTTATAAATTTGCAAAACAAATCAGAAAAATATATATTTTTAAATTCATGGTATAAAAATGAACTTCTTTTTGGAGGATGGTTAAAATGAATGAGGCCCCCTGGTGGCCATTCTGTGAAGCGTCTGCTGCTTCATTCATATCAGCTTCTCTGAGTTTGGATTGTTTTTCTCAGTTGGAGCTGCAGCTTCGCTTCATGACGTTTTTCTGAAGCGCTGCGACCTGCTGAACCCAAAGTTTTACTCCAGAAATACACGGTGTCATCAAAATAAAAGCTCAGCTTCTCCTAGTGTTCATATTTAGGAGCATCAGGGCTTTTTTTTAGTTTAAGTTTTATATTTTCTTTCTTAGGAAATTTGGCGTCATTTCAACTTTTGTTTTGTTTAAAAAATCTGGATATAAAGGAAAGAAAAGTTGAACAATATCCCAGAGTTATTAATGAATAAAAAAACTAAAGTATTACATTTTAATTTCAGTATTTAACCCTTTTATCTGAGGTCTACCTGTTGATTATGAACCAAGTGGTGATGCCGTATTATCAGCTTCTTGTTGCTATGTAGGTTCTGTCAGTTGTTTAGGTACCAGATCAGTACTTTAACTGGATTTTATGATGTTTATGCATCAGTTTTTTCTGCAGAGCATCATCTAAAGCTTTTATTTTGGCGGGTATTTAACAAACAGAGTATTTTGAGGACACCGTGTGTTTTTGTTGCACGGCTTTTAGTGAATGTGAGCAACAAAAAGCCCAGTTTTTGTTAAACAGCTCGGTGTTGTGGCCTTGTGGTTCCGCATGTGAATCTTGAGACGTTCCTCTGAGCTTCAGTGTTTGGGTTCAGTCGCCTCCATCTAGTATGGTTCCACTTCACTGTTAGGTATCGGATGTACTGTACATACTGCTGATGAACTGCTCCTCATTGCTGAGGACTTCTTGTGAAACTGTTGCTTTAGGTTTTTGTTTTTTTTCTAAGGTTGTAAATGTAAATCTGGATTCTGAGCCAGAACTGGTTGGGACTCGCCGTTTGAAGGAACAAAACCCGCTGACGGTTCTCTGGACTCTCTGAAGACTTTCACGGTTCTTTCTCTTGCTTAGTGTGTCCAGTCGAAACTCGTACGTCATTGGTGCCATTTCTCTTGTGCATTGTGTCACTTAAAAGTTTGACCTGAAACTGTCACCGAGTTTTAATGTGTTGGAACAAAGTAAAATGTTGCAGATATTTTTGTTGTCTAATTTTATTACATGTTCACTGAATTTGAAGCAGTTCTGAGATTTTGCCTTTACTTCAATAATCAAACTCTTTGCAACAGGAAGATGTTTTAGGAGCTGAATCCCAGGAACCGTGTCAAGAAGGTAAATATAGAAAATGTTGAGGTTTTTTAGACCAATAAAGATTTGTGATCTGTCCACCCACCATAACCTCACTGACACAGATCTATGGGAGAAAAATAAGGCCTTTTCTGTTTTGCTTTAACACACTGATGTGAAACTGACACTTATTTAGTTTTAAATAGAATGATTCTATAGGGTATCTGGTCCTTAAGGTCTCTAATAGGGTGTGTAACATTGGTTGGGCTGAAAATGGCATATTTGCTGTTCTATGAGCCCTAATGTTAAAAGCCCTAGAATGAAACAACAGGTTTTCTTCCTTTTATTGTATTATCATGAATATTTAGATGAGCTGTGCGCTAATTGGTTGGTTTATGAGCAAAGCTGCTGAGCAAAGACGCATCATAGCAACAAGCACTCACTCACTGAAACATCGAATTGTTGATACGGTAGGGTGACCAGACGTCCTCTTTTTCCAGACATGTCCTTCTTTTCATACCTAAAAAAATGTCCAGGGGAGGAATCTTAAAATCGTCCGGATTTTGGTGAAATAAAGTGCAGCAGGCCAGAACCAAATAAGGCAACATCCCAGAGTTTACGCCAAATCTGCTTCGTTTGGATTCGCCTGTTTTTTAATGGAAGTTTATAATCGTGAGATTTGCATAGAAAGGAGGTGTTGATGAGGTTTGAGCTTCTCTGTACGTCCATTTCACCAACTGAACTATCGTTATTTATCTATGACAATGGAAATTTGGTTTTGCATTCTATGACCCCTTTAAAGATCGGACTTAGATGGGTCAGAACCAGACATTTGTGCGGTTCTGACCAGCCCAGCCCTCAGAACCACAATATAAATAGGGGCCGGCTAGCTCAAGTGGTAAGTCACCCGTCCTATGAACAGGAGACCTGGGTTGGTATCCCAGGTGGGGGGGAATGAGCTGTCAGTGTGGGTCCTTAAGCAAGACCCTTCACACTAGTGGGGCGTTGTGTGCCTGAGCAAAGACCCTTAACCTACACCTGCTCCCTGGTCCCTGTTTTTTTATTTTGACCAAAATCACCTGATATTTACGATAGAAGATTAGGGCCACTGAAAAAGTAAAAAAAAAAAAAAAATTAACATGTTTTTTAAATATTATTCCAGTTAAATATAGGAAAAAAGTCAAAATTCTGACTGAACCCTGACAGCTAACAAACATGTTAGCATCAAGCTGTAGCCATGTCTGTTTTAGAGACTAAACCAGCTCTGTTGTTTTAATCACCTTCTGCTCTTCCATTAATGAAATAGCATCACCAGGGACGCCTTGGCCACTTAAAAAGTCGCCTAATTCCCTTATTTTCCACCAATGTGTTACTGGCCCTCCCAAACATCTCACATCTTTGTCAGTGAAGCTGAGTTCTCCCACATCTCTTCCTTCATGGTGCCCATCTACATTAAGATCCACAATTCTGAGATTAAAGTCGGAAATCTGAGATTAAAGTCAGAATTCTGACTTTTTTCCCATATAAAACTGAAATAAAATTTAAACATCAATTAACTTTTTGTATTTTTTCCAGTGGCCCTAATCCTCTTCTGTAGATATTGTACATTTTTGCTATTATTTTTCTTTTATCTTTTAGTCAGCTGTCCACACATCAGTATTTTACTTTAGACTTAGACAGCTTTTATTGTCATTAGTTTTTTTAAATGACAGCTGGTCTAATAAAACCTCTAATGAGGAATAAAGTTAGTACTTAGTTTATTTTTTATTTTTCACACAGATACAGTTGCTTCCCCTCCTCACCAGCTGGTGGCGGTGGTGAGCCTTGTTAAACTTTCAGAAGGAGAAGCTATCCTTAGCTTAGCTTAGCTTAGCTGCGGTGTTTCTGGCGGCTGTCATGGCTTCGTTCCGGGACTGGAGGGCCTTCATCCGGCAGCGGCTGGCGGCGGCAGGTGACGAGGTTCTGTCGGCCTGTGAAGACACGGTGGTCCGATGCGAGGAGGAGAACCGGCTGCAGAAGAAGATGATCGATGTGATGAAGTCCGAGATGGAGGAGCAGCGAGCAGGTAGGGACCCTGAATGCATCACAGCTGATGGTTCTGCCTCCTTCTGTCCCACATCATCCTGTGATTAATGTTTATTCTTAACGCCTCATCAATCATCTTTGACAATATTCTATTTTTAGGTGATTTGAACAATTAGAAAGAAAATCATCTATTAAAGAAAGAGCCACCAGGCTGCAGCTTATGTTCCAATTTTAATCCTGGGAAATGAGGCCCAGTGTTCAGCATGTAGTTTAATCCTGTGGAACCGGTGGTGGCAGCTCATGCTGTGGGACAGGGGAAGTGGGCGGAGCCTAATCCAGAAGCATCCTGGAAGAAAACAGGGATGTGTTCTAATTCATGGGCTGCATTCACTACCACATATACATCCAGGTGTCCATAAATAATGTAATTATGGTTCTAAAATTACTTATTTATATCCTTAACTCACTAAATAATGCTAATAAACATCTTTAAAAAATGTTTTATGACTTTTGTGAGACAATTTTGATGCTTTTTACATTTTTTTTTTGTGAAACTGCTTCTCTGATGTCATCATTGGACATGCTCAGAGCAGTCCGGCTAAATCTGATTAAACCATGTTTATCTGCATTTTAGTTGTTAAATCCAGAGCCGAAAAAGTTATTTCCCGGAAATAGCGTAGGATCCCATTTCCAGGGCAGATGGGGCACAGAGTGAGAAAACAGGATTTTAAGGCATTTATTTTCTAAGGAATTACATTATTAACCTTTCAAACATATTTTAGTGCGTTTACTGTTTTTGGAGAGGGAAAAACCTTATTTATGTCTTTTTAACAAAATTAAATCGAGGGCGACCCGGATGTATATTTGGGTGCCCAAATGACCTGATGGCGCAGGACGGATCGTGCTTCCGGGACGGATCGGGTAGTGACAGGCACCCCCCTTTTAACCCCTTGACATCCAGATTTGTGTGTAACAGTATGTGTGTATATATCCTGTAAGAGAAACAAGAGCTTTCCAAAGGTTCCTGTTCACTGAATTTGTAATAACCGGCACTGAGGAATGCACATGCTTTCTTTTTAACACAAAGGGTTTGTTGCATATTTGCAACAATGGATGCCAAGGGGTTAATATCTCCAATTTCACATTTTAATAAAGGAAACCACCAATAGTTTTTAGATATGAAATGTGTAGGTATAACCCAGGTATAACCCAGAGGAAAAGTGTGAGGATGAATACAGAGATCAATTAAGCTAGAAGCCCTCTACTCTATAACCAGAGCTCTGCTATATTCACATCATCACTAGCCGTTCAGATTCAATATGCATATAAATACCCGATAAAGAAGCGCATAAAATATGAAAATAAAATATATCCCACTCAGCATTATTTATAAACTAAATCAATCCTTCTGTCTTTGTGCAGTAAGTCATAAGCCTTGTTTACGCCACCCTTTTGAAACCGTGCAGAGATCGGTCCGAGGATGATAACCTAGATAACTGTTGAGTGTAAATAGCACACACAAACGAACCGCTCTAAACCGGTTCTAGTTCATCAGTAGGAGTCGGCGCCGTTCAGTTCTGGCTCGGTTCTCTGATAACAAAGAGAGCATCAGCGGAACGCGTCATCTCCTTACAGTCAGCCTCCGTTATCAGGAAATCTCAGTCGTTCATAAAAAAATCCTAGCTTCCCTGCAGTGCCACATGATTTCCAGTGATTCTGCTCAACAGTTTGATGAGCCTCAACGTCTGTCGTTGTTTCCTGCACCTGTAATCCCTGATTAGACTATCGTTTGTCATGTCCACTTCCCAAAAGCCGACTCTTTTAAGTAGATTCACCAAAGGCAGCCTTCTTCGTCCAACTCTCCACATACAACAAAATATCAAAATTATAACCAGATTTCATGGATGTTACGGGCGCCGCCATGTTGATTCACTTGTTTCCCTCTAGAGAGCAGTAGAACCGTAGGACGAAGCGTGCAAGATATGTAAATGGTCGTAAGGAACCAAGGTAAACTGATCCGAGCTCGGTCCGAACTCGGCACGGATCGGTTTCAGAGGGGTAATCGAAATGGTGCTAATGTATCTCCGTTTAGTGTCAGCCATTGAGGCGAGAGAAACTTTTAACAAAAGCAAATCTAAAATGCAGATTGTCGCTAGCTTAACTTGACTGTAAACATTTTGATCTAACTGACCAATCAGAAAATGGTGACATTATGCTGAGCCCTCTAGCTTTTCCTGCAGGGAAAATATGAAATCTGATTGGTTGAAGAAAACGTTCTTCACTAATATTTGCTAAGGTAAGGTCAGACAGCACAGCTGATTCTGAAGCCTCTGTGCAGATTTGATTAGCATAGCATCAAGCTAAGGCTAAAGCCCAATGCAGCATTTGTTCACCTGCAAGAAAATCCAGAGTTTAAAGATGTTTTTTTTATATGTCCCTGAATCCAGACCTCCTCCAACAACGTGACGTAAAAGAAGAAGAACAGAAGGTTCTGCTTGATGAGCACCTTTCCAGCGAGGAGAGAAGTTCCACCCTGAGAGAGGAAGGTTATGAGCCTCCTCAGATGAAGACGAAGGAGGAGGATCCAGAGGCGATGCTGATTAAAGAGGAAGAACAGGAGGAGCCCTGCACCAGCTCACAAGCAGAGAAGGTGCAGGAGAAAATGAAGGATTCCTGTGAGGAAACATCCAGTGGAAGTGAGTCCGCTCCTGAGGCCAGCAGGTCCGCCTCCAGCCAGAGGAATCGCCGTAGGCCCAAAGCCAAACTCTGCGTTTGCAAAATTTGTGGCAAATCTCTCACACAGCAAGGCTTAGCGATCCACATGAGGATTCACACCGGCGAGAAGCCGTTCTCCTGCCAAAGCTGCGGGAAAAGTTTCCGTCACCTCCCCTCTTTGGATCTCCACATGAAAACCCACAACGACGAGAAGGCTCACGCCTGCAGGAAATGCGGGAAAACGTTCAGAAGAAGCGACAAACTCCTGCTGCACGAGAGAACGCACAGCGACCAGAGGCTCTACCTCTGCAACGTCTGCGGAAAGAGCGTTGCCGACCCGTCGGCTTTCAGGAGGCACCTGACCATCCACACGGACGAGAAACCGCACACCTGCAAAATCTGCGGCAAGAAGTTCAAACACAGCAACACCCTGCTGTGCCACAGGAGGGCGCACTCGGGCGAGCGGCCGTACGTCTGCAGGCTGTGCGGCAACAAATTCGTCAGCGCGTCAAAGCTGAAGAGGCACACGAAGACGCACACCGACGACAAACCTCACGTCTGCGAATACTGCGGGAAGAGATTCATCCGGCTCCACCGGCTGAGGGACCACGCCAGGACGCACACCGGCGAGCGGCCGTTCAGCTGCCACACCTGCACCAAAGACTTCACCTGCCACTCCTCCCTGAAGGCTCACCTGAAAACTCACACAGGTGAGCCATCTCAGACATAAACCAGCTCTGAAGATGTTTGCCCTCGATTGACGAGGATTCAAAGAACTGGTTCCTGTTTCAAATCTCGGAGTCGATGGCTGAACCCAACAGCCTCCATGTCGGTTCTGGAGGAAAAGGATTTTCACGGCGCATTCAAACCGAGCGCGGTGTCCGCAGTGATTTCCTCACACCACCGCTCTGCATTTCATTGTTTACACCCCTGGATCGCATCATCAAACAGGAGGAGCTTCAGCTGTGTGAAGCTGAAGCAAATAGACTGAATGGTTCATTGGTCCCGGTTTGAGCATTTCAAATGGTCATTTTGTAAAAATGTAAATAAATGAACTAAAGAAAAGATCATGTGTGCTGCTGTTGTTTCAGAGATATTAAAGGTCACCCAGAGGTCAACTATCTTATCATCTAGCCTACTTTTTCAGTGCTTCTTGATTTATGCAGGTAAAACTGCACTTTCAGCTGATGATGTCACCATCCCAGCATCTAATTTGGTAGTGTTTTTAACCAATCTATATCTACTAGGGCAAACCAATACAAATTAGTTACATTAGCCAAAACACTTGTGTTTAATCACAACTTTCAAAAGTCTGAGATGGGTCCTAAACCATCAACTACAGGAGTAGAAGTCCATCTCTTACAGCTGAAACCATTAACAAGACGACAGTTTTCAAGAAAGCAATACTAGTTTAAAACCATTACATTTGTAAACAGTGGCTTGCTCAGATTTTGATCATTATATTGTTTAACAATGAAAAGTTGTCTAACCAAACTCATTTAAACCAACTAGATTGGTTGGAAAAAAAAACGAATCTATTTTTAGAATATTTCTAAACTCTATCCAACTCTTCTACAAACTCCCACATCTTGACTGTTTAAATGCCTGCTAAAGTTGATTATTTGGTTCATCTCATAACATCACTACCAAACAGACAGCAGCAAACATTTAAAAACAAACTGTGAAGAGCAGTGTTGCAACTTAGTGCTTTTGTCGCTTTATTTAGCAACGTTTCAGACCCCTCTAACACTTTTGTTTTAAAAAAGAACCTAGCTGCAAATCTAGCAACTTTTTTCTGCTACTGGAGACTTTGGAGACAACATCTAAAAGCAGCGAACTCTGCTCTCCAGAGCAAGTAGATTGGTAACCCCGCCTCCTGCTATCCATGCCTGTCTTTGCCTAGGGCCCCAGATTTCCTAAATCCGCCCCTGCCATGAACAGTCTCAGATTCAGGAAATTTTGACGTGTTTTTCCTCAAACATATGAATAAAAAGTAAAATCTTTGTGCTCAGATGTTTCTGTCTGATGGGAGGAAGAAGACGTTGAGCTAAGGACCAACCTTCAGCAGCTTTTCTACAGTAGATGCTGACCTTTGGTTCTACTGCATGGAACTAAGAGAACAAAGCAAAATAAAACTGTGGCTTCATTAACCAGCAACATCACAGCGCTAACCCATCATAACTGAAACACCGCAGCTGTTCGCCTTCATTTGCTTGTTTTTTTTTTTTTTTGTGATCGGGTTAAATAATTGTGGTTTACACATTTAGGTACTTATCATTCTCTAGTTCTCTTATTTGGGTTTCTATCATTATTATATTTTAGTTTTTGTTTAACTGTTCTTATCTCCATTAACCCTGGAAATCTGCCCTGACAAAGATGGCAGCCAAGGTTTCTGCTCTTTAGCTTTTTATATTTAAATTTTAACGTGTTTTAATTTCATTTCTTGATTAAGTTCAGTTTAACTCTTAATAGTGTTATTGGAATCCAGGACCAGACCTTATCACCTTTAACGTTAAGAAAAGATGGATATTTTGATGATGTCATAACAATGTAATAACAAGAAACGCCAACTTGACCGAATATATTAAGAAATATAACAAAAGTGCTTCTATAGGAGATTAATGAATACCACTGAGAGTAAAAGACACATTTCGTTTAGTACAACATAACCTTAAAGGCATTAATCCTGATAATCCAGTTATATTTTTTAGTTTATAAACCTAAATATAATTGTTAACTAGGCTTATTAACTTTTTAACTTTTCAATTAGCTTTTTACCTTTTTTTCTTGACTTTTATCCAACTTAATTTACTGTAGGTAATATACGATTGAAGGGCTCATCTAATTGGACAAATACCAAAATAAGATGTGCAGCCATGTAGCAGCATCTTTGCTGAATGGCTGGATATAGATCTTTTGCTTCTAGATCTATGCAAGTGATGAAAAACGGTAACTTGCCCTATAAACGGTTAATGATCTGAACTGGTCTGAGTTACTGGACTGTCATAATTGGTCATAATGGTTCCACTCTAATGAATCTTTTGAGCAGTGATGCTTTGTTATGCAGTCTGTTGGTTTGGTCTCTTTCATAAACTTTAGCTTTTTTGTAAACTGAATTTTTTGGGGTCAAAATAAAAAAGCTTCTTTCCTGTTTTACTGTGACTCTTTATGCCTTTTAACCCAAACTGTGTGAAATCACAGACCAGTGGTGTCAGAGTCGATGATGTTGAAAACAGGGAGAACGTCTGAGTCAGACAGGCAGCTGCTATATATAGATAATAAATAAATCATTTTACGGATCATTTGATTAAAAAGATCCACAGTTTTGACCCACAGGGATAAACCCTGTTAGGTCCTGAAGTCCAGGTGAGTTAAAACTGGGTCCAACCTCCTCTGAAGTCTTTCCTAAATGATCACATCTTATCCAGATAGATTTTATTCTGTAAATACTTTAATAAAATCAGTTTTAGGTTTGAATAAATTGATCTGTAGTGTTATTATTTGACCACAAGAGGGCGACATTGTGTCAGTATTATAAACAAAAACCAATCAGTGGAGCAGATCTAATCACATATGTCAAACTGTAGCTTTAACTCCTGAATCACTTTTACAGATTCATGACCATATATTTACAGATAGATATATACATGTAGAATGTTTGAAAGAGGAGAAATATCTAGTTTTTCACTAAAACTGTCCAGTTTTCCGGCTTGTTGTTTCCATCTTCCAAAGTTTGTCCAACAAACACATCATTGTTTGCTTTAGTAAACCTCCTCCCTTGGATGTTGTTCTCCACTGAGGACAGGATGTGGATATACGGGTCTATAGATCTGGATCACAGCTGACATTGAAAACTAAACTAAACAGGAGGAGCCAGAGAGGTTCATCCATTACTACTAAAAACTAGGTGGAGGTGACCTGATGAGTTTATCTCTTCACCTGCATGAGCCACTCTCAACCATTGTCCATCCTTTTCTTAAAAAATATTTTGTAAAAACGTTATTCAACAACATCTGAAATTAAATCGGTGTGTTAAAAGAATCAAAAATGTAAAGCTATCTGAAGATTTCTGGCATTTTAAAGAATTTAACAAAATAAGAAAAAAAAAATGTAATGAAAAACAATCAATTACAGGCAGAAAAAAACATTTTTCCAAACCAATTTTCTTTATAACATAAATTATGGAACACAGCAGATGGAGGTTTGGTGCTTGGTGATGCTTTCAATTCTATTCAGTTTATTTCTATAGCGCCAATTCATAACACACGTCATTCCGAGGCACGTTACAGTTCACCAGATCATCCAGTCAGATTGATTCAAAGTTTTCTATCTGAGGAAAACCAGCTGATTGCATCGACTCAAAGGCAATCCCTGAGACTAAGCATGCTTGTAGCGACAGTGGAGAGGAAAAACTCCCTTTTAACAGGAAGAAACCTCCAGCAGAACCAGGCTCAGTGTGAGCGGCCATCTGCTGAGGCCGACTGCGGTTCAAGGAGACAGAAGGAGAGATACAAAAAGCAACTGTAAAAGGCCCCGTCCAGGAAACACACAGCCAGGCAGATAAGCTCCAAGTGAAGGATGAAGAGAGCACATCCAGTCAGTCACAGTCAGAGAAACAGGACTACACTGAAAAACAGGCTGATCTCCAACATCTAGAAACAAAGGTGTTGATGGCAGCAGCACAGCTGATATTTCTCTCCAGGGTGGAGTCACAGCCAAACAGGAACAGACCAGATGTTCCAAAAGCAGAGAGAGCAGAACGTTAGAGATTGAACTAACAAATTCTGCTGAGTGAGAGAATAGAGATAGAATGAATCCCTATGTCTTCCAGCAGTCTAAGTCAATAGCAGCATAACTATAGAGATAGCTCTGATCTGACCTTTGGGAACGATGAACCAAAAATGACCCATGAACAGAGCCCTGAGGAACCACGCCTGGTCTCTGCACACAGAGCTGAAATCAAACCTTTCCAGTCCGCCGATCAAACAAAGGAAAGTCTCTGGATTTGCTGAAAAAATACAGCCTTTGAACCAGGATCATGTAGTTGATCAACTTTTGTTAGAGATGTTCTTGCTCTGGGATTTTTTAATTATTTAGGAACATTTTTGTCTTTTTGTTCGTATAGCTGATGCGTCCTGTTTCTTTCATTGAAAGCCTAAGTGTTTCTTTGTTCTGTAGAACATAAGGAGAAAAAGAGGAACAATCTTCACTTCCTGCACCGCCTGCTTTGATTAGAGGGGAGAGTTTTCTCACGATGGGAATTAAATGCTGAAAGCATAAACAAAAATGTTTACTGTAAATAAACTAATAGAAGTTCTGCTCCATCAGTCAGAATCAGGTCTCCGTGTGAAACATCTGAATGAAAAGCTTTTACCAGCATCCTCTCTCCATCACGTCCAATCAACAGTCTGGTGACATCAGGGTCAGAGGTGAGATCAGAACATCTGCTGGACTCCTCCTACTGAAGGCTGGAGTGTGAGGGGGGGGATTAGCTCTGTCTGCAGAGACACGGTGTCAGGATTCCCTCCTGGGACTCTAAGGAAAATGTCTTCATGTGAATAATTTGACTTTAAGAGTCGGGTTCTTTAGAGTGGACAGGAAATGATCGTGTCTTGGTGTGCTTGTAGAAGACGGAGGTCAACTTCTTCCCTTCTCTGCTCCTTGGGAAACACTATCAGATGGGAATCTCCTCTCGCACACATCCTCCCACCTCTGCCCTTCCTCTGGTTGGGCTGCAGCCTCTCAGCTGGGAGAAGGCGGGAAATGGAGTCCCAGGCTCTCCGTCCACAGTGGGTGACCTTTATCCAACATGTCCTGCAGCGATACTCTGCTCTGCAAACCAGAGGTCACTGAACCTGGAGGCGACACTAGAAGCTCAGAGGTTTATGAAATCACTCTTTGGAAAAGTGATTCAGTCCGAATCCACGGTTGTTAGGTTCTGCTATATCAGTTTCTTAGTCTATTCTTAGATTCTGGTCTTTATTAACAATATCTGTTGGATAGTTTCTTTGTGTCTGAGTTACAATAAGAAGCATGTTCCTTAAA